AGGAGTCCTTGCCAAAAGCGCATGTACTATTGAGTCTGTTCCACATCCTAAACCAAGATTTATATAAAACCGTGAAATACCACACATTACGACCTTTCGCCACAGGAAGAAAAAAAATGGCTTCATAACATCATTCTACACACACACACACTCCAAGTTTCAGTAATGACTCTCTGTCAAATCTCCACCATACACAGTCTATTGTATTTTTTTTTTAAGAAGTGGATGGGGGTGAAGGGCAGTAAACAATTTCCAAGGTATGATTTACGTGAAGGCATTTTTTTTTCCTTGCAAAGTCGAGAAGACAGAAATCTGCCACTGAAGCTTATTGTCATCCAAGGAGTATTTCTGCCACTTGCCCTTTGCAAGGTGGGAGCAGAGGGGTGGGGGAAGAGGCAGGATATGGACTCAACTTTCATCTATAAACAGGGGTCACTAAACAGGGGGCATTTCATCATTGCCCTTAAATTCACAGGAGCTAGGACGTCCACTTGCCACCCTGTGGGGTGGCCTTGGCTGGGCAGCTCCCAGGTCTGTGAGGCGATGGGAGGAGGGAGAATTATCACACACTGTCCTAGAGGCTGGAAAAGATGCCCAGGAAATTGTCTTCATTCCTGGTGGGATAATTGAGCTGGGGATATAAGGGCTTTAGGTATCCCTGACTAGGAGGTCCCCACCAGGAAACCAGACGGATTCCAGAAGTCTCAGCCAGAGCAGGGTTCACCCTCCTGGAGGCAATAGCTGGAGTCCCAGTTCGCTTTCATTCTGGGACCAACACAGTGCCCCAGCCTCTCTCCAGACTCTTGCTCTAACTCTCAGACTTCCTCTCTTTTCAGTCCTTCCATATTTTAAGGAGACCCACCCTACTCTTTTACAACCATATCTGGGGGCAGGGACAGTCCTTTATCAATAGCACATAAAACTGGACTTTCTGGAATCCAGAAAGAAGCACGTCAGTGACTTGCAGAAGAAGAAGAAAAAAGCAGTTGGACTGGTTTATATGGGGGGGGGGGTGTTAATTAATAAAAGTTAATGATAGGATTAAAGCCAATAGCCAGCCAAGCGGAGTAGCGGAGATGGCTTCCCAGCCGGATTTATTTAATTAGCAGCAATTAATACATTTTCTGCTAATATCCTTTAGGGCTCTGAATGACTTGTTCGCCGTGAAAGAGAATGGAGACCGAGCACAGGAACACTTAAAGCACCGAGGGCATTTTGTTCTGATGACAAGAGAGATTGCGAATTCATTTAAGAAAATGTTCATAAACAAGTGACAGGCGCACTCTGAGGCAGTCTTGTTGGAAACAATGGTGAAACTGACAAATATTCTTTGCTTGGGGGAGGGGTACTTTTTTCCCCAAGGCAAAGAAATGCTTTAGGAGAGAAGAAAAAAAGACAGGAGGTTAAAAAAAAAAAAAAAGAAAGAAAAGAAAGAAAAATTATTTCAGACTGCAAGCAGCAGCAGATGCAGAAGCCCTTGCAAATAAATCAGCCCTGCACATATTGAAGATTTGGACATGTAATGCTTCAGACCACTGATTTGCTATTTTCCTAATTCCCACTCTTCTTTTTCCATATGAATCAAACAATCTTTTGTCCTTCAGGGTTTGATTTGATCGCTACTGTTCACATTGCACTTTTGTATTTTCCTCTTCCTATACCATTACTCATTGAGTGCCCTGTGAAATTACAATCGTACATTTTCAACTCAGCAACCCATTTGCAGTGCAAAAATAGGGTCTAAATAATGCCTGAATTAGCCCTACTGGACAGTTTCAGATGTAACATTCTGTAATAATTATATTGCAGGCTGGATTAGGATGCTATTATCATAATCTGGACGTTTACAATTATCTGTAATTTGCAAAGATGCGCCAGGTCTTGATTACAGCAGTTTTTTTTTTTTTTGTATCACGCTAACCATCACTAAACAGTGACAGTAATAACAGCTAATTTTGCTGGCAATATAAGAGGTGCTGGGGTGTGCAAACAATTTCACACCTGGATGTGCTCACTCAACCAAGAATATAGAGAAAGAGCTTCTGCCCTGAGACTCAGAAAAATATTCTCCTCTGCTTCTGTTCACTATAGATTTCTAGACCCTGATCATTGCTTAAGAGATATTCACTGGGGGTAAGTTTTTATTTCTTGCATACCTCAAGGCACAGTTCATATTTCTCTTCTCACACTTTCCAAGCTATGTGTGTTGCTGTTCTAATTGATTAGGGACTGCAACTTTGCTTTATAGATTTTTCAGTTCTGACCTTTTATCCCCCTTTAGCAGTAAAAGGGTTGTCGTTCTGGTGAGTAAAAGGATTTGAGTGAGAATGTGATCCTTAAGAAGTCGATTTGTCTTTCTTGCTTTCTGTGCTGTTGATGTATTTGGTGCAGCTTGTGACTGGAGACTGCGAAAAGGACCAGGTTTCTGTTAAGATGTGGGGAGAGCCGGCTGGAGATTCCAAGCTAAAATCTATTGGAAATTGTTACTCAAAGCTAGTCCTAGGCAAATCCATTGAGGTCTTTACATGTGGCGATGATTTTAAGTTTGGGGGCGTTAAGAGAGCAAACGGAGCTCTAGACAGTGCTCCTTCAGTATCACAGGTTTGCAGACATTTGCACCGGCAGGTGTAGTCTGAATCCCTCGACTATGCAGCCTCTTCGACATCTTCCTCCACTTTGGGGAAAGTTTCCGGAGTTAAGTGGCCTCTGAACCCCTTCAGGGTTCCTTTGCAGGGCCTTTGCCTCAAGCGGGGGCGGGGGGGGGGGGGGGGGGGGGGGGGTAGGCGGTGGGGGGGGGGGCGGGATGCTTCTCGTAGAGCTCTCGCCCGCGGGGCCCAAACGCTGCGAACTTGGGGTTGGAGGGGCATGATTGGCTGAGACACTGCACCGGAGCTGCAGAGGCAAGGAACCAGTCTGATTTAGGAACGCACCAAGGAAGACTCTCCCAAGAAGCGGGGCTCTTCTATCTATAGATGACGCTGTTTCCTGACGCTGTAGACTCTGCAAGCAGCCAGAGATGTTAAGTGCAGGAGCCTGAGAAATCTTTGGCTCCCTCACCCCAGTGCCGAAAAGGCCTTTCTCCGGCGGTGGGAACATTTGGACTAATTGTGTCAAAAGATAATGAGATGCTTATTGGCGCCGAGGAGAAATCTTACCCTTCACCCTCACCTCCCGCAGCTATTGTTCTCTCTTTCTTTTTTTACATGGAAAATATGGTCAGAACGAGGCTCCAGAACTCGAACTCCGGGGAGGTTTGAGCGTGGGGAGGCGTAGTAGGCACCGTGACAGGGTGCTGCCTTTCGCCCACGCCCCTCCTACCAATCTCACTCTTGGGAATCACTTTACTATGGGGTCGATAGATTCTAAAGAGAGAAAATATTAACCCTTGAGGTTCAGAGGACCCAGAGGAAGCCCAGTTCCAAGGACATTTCTGGGGTGACCCTTTGGCAGAATTTCTTGTTTAATCAAACTCATATTAGGAGGGAGAGAAATAGTGACAGGCGCATCAGGACAACACCTCCGATGTGTTAACATGCATTTGCTGTGTTTCAGAATTTCATGCACTCACAGTGGTTTGGCATGTGTCTGGTGGATTTTTTTTTTTTTAAGGAAAAATTAGTGTTGGTTTCGATGTATGGTAGCTTTCTCCCTAACGTAATTTGAATAATTCAGCAAAGCCCCACTACCAGCTGTACTTCTGCAGCCTCTTCCATTCTTTTCAGCATTATAATTTTGGTTAATTTTCAATTTTAGGTCCTACGTCTCTGCAATTTGTGTATGAATAACAGAATAATTTCCCTCTTTTGTTTCGCCTTTCCTGTTCCTGAATCTAAATAAAGATGGCTTTTTAGTATTAAAAGTGGAAGAAAATTACAGGTAATTATCTTTGACGGTAAAAACGCTGTAATCAGCGGGCTACATGAAAAATTACTCTAATTATGGCTGCATTTAAGAGAATGGAAAAAAACCTTCTTGTGGATAAAAACCTTAAATTGTCCCCAATGTCTGCTTCAAATTGGATGGCACTGCAGCTGGAGGCTTTGTTCAGAATTGATCCTGGGGAGCTACGAACCCAAAGTTTCACAGTAGGAAGGGGGAAAAAAGAAAAGAAAACATTTTTCCTAATGTAACAATGCGAATGCTAGAAAATGACAAGACTGATCGGTTTTAAACCATTCTGAAGACTGACTGAGCGTGGAAGTTGCTCAACAAAAAAAGGAACGGGTATATTGGTAAGTAGTCTTTGCTTTGTGTCTAATTATAGTGACTGTCCTTTTGCACGACTGTATGTCGCTGTCATTATATGGAGCACTCTGAGTATCTCTATTGACTTCTGATAAATGGCTCAGTGGTTTCAAGGTTCATAATTTGAAGGATGCCCAGGTCTGTAGCCATTAATTCTCGCAGTATGGGGCTTCCTGCTTGTATGACGAAAGGACTTTTCATTTTCATTATTTCTGTGTTTTCCACAAGATCAGAAGGATGTATTTCATCCAGGATTGTGCATTTTCCTACCTGGCTAGCTTGCAAAGGGTTGTAAACATTAAGTAGTCATAATTGTACATTTACTTTCTGCTTTTTCTTTTATTCTTTCCTCTTTTTGTTAAAAAAAAAAAGCTGCTTCCAAACAAAGACAAATTCAGCTCTATGATTTTGGCTGAGGAAAGGGAAAGGAGAACACTTAGTTTCAGCCCTGGAAACTACTGGATGTCTAGAGGTCAACCTGGGGATAGATCATTCTAATGTCTAAAAAAAATAGATATATGTGTAGAAATTACAGTAAAAATATAACATATAAAGGAAGCTGAGAAAACCTCCATGGTTAATGTTAGAGTACTTAAGATAATGCCAAGTGCTGCAAACTGACATCTTTGCAGGCACTTGACGTTCATACATAGGGCTTCCCACATTAGGAAACAGGAATTCTTTTAAGAGTGACAGAAAATATACTGGGAGGGATGGAAGAGAGGGGGTGAGATAGAGACAAACAGAGAGAAATATACAGGACACTCCCAGCATTTTGTGGCTTTTACTCCATATATGAAAGAAGACAAAAACATACAAAGTATATGTACAACTAAAATTCAACAATATATACAGAAATGTTTCTCCATATAAATGTCCCTATTAGCTTAGTGAATGCCACCAATTCACCTGGTAAAGGTATCAAAGCAATAGAACGGTGATTTTGGTTGTTTCCTCTGTCTTTCCTGATTCCAGTTCAGGGTTTGGGGGGTGGGGTGGGGCAAGGGTGGTTTTTTTTTTTTTTTAAATCATCATTCTTGCTCATCGCATTTTGATAAAACATGCAGTGCTCCCTTTGTGGCAACATTCAAGTCTCACAGCCAATTTTTCCTTTTTCTTTAGAGAAGGGCTGTTATCTGAAGGTCTTTTCTTTTTCTTTCTCTCTCTCTGTCTCTCTCTTTTTTTTTTTGGTCAGTCTTGGATTGGTAAATAAAAATGCAGGAGTCGAAAAATGCTTCTCTTTCATCATGTCATGTCTTAAGCTCATTAAACAAGTAAAAATGCTGCCATGTTTGCGCAGATTCTTCTGGTGGGGGAAAAATGTCTGTTAAAAAAGTCGTTTTGATGGATACTCCCAAAGAGAAGAAGAGGCTCAGAGCCTGGATCCCAAGGGGTCAGGGAAAATATCCTTACAGTGAGGGGTTTCAGGAGCGCTGGCATAGAAACCAGTCTCTATCTCTCTCTTTCACTCTCCCTAAAATGCAAGATCAATTACTGAGGCTGCTCAAGGGAAAAGGAAGATGAGGAAAGGAAAGGAAAACAGAAAGGTGGGAAGGAAGGAGGAAAAGAAAGGGAAGAGTGAGACAGACAGACAGACGGGAGGCTGGGGGAGGAGAGAGAGAGAGAGAGGGAGAGCAATCGCCCAGACGGTCTTGCCACACATAAAAGTTCTCCCGAGCCTGCTCCTTCGGCTCGATTTGGCAGACGCAAGCAGGTCCCGGATCCTCCTTGCCTTGTTCAGACGTTTCCCTAGGGTATCGATTTCCCTCGGACAACTCACATCATCTGTGGTCTCTGCATCGTGTCCTGGTGTGGAGAGGAGTACCAATGCGAATAGCCAGGCATGTAGCTGTTAGGAGGCATACTGACGCCCTTGGCCGAGGCGGAAACGTCCCACACCGGAGGCAGCGCCGGCGAGCGCGGCGACAGGGCCGCTGAGCCCGGGAGAGGGTCGCTCTCATGCGGGTTACTGCCCTGCTTCAGCAGTTTCTTAAACTTAGAGCGTTTGTTCTGAAACCATATCTTCACCTGGAACGAAAGGCAGCAGCGATCATGAGGCCCAAAAAACATTGAACCGGTGCCTCCAGTCGAGGCTTTGGAAGCAATATCCAAAAAAAAAAAAACCTCGCAAGCCAAGCCCTCAAGTCCCCGCCTTGCTCCACCTCTTTCTAGCCCTCCTCCTACCCCCCCCCCCCCCCTTTACTAGGTATCTTGTCTGGATACCTAAAGTCACTGTAACTCTTGAGTTGGATGCAAGTCTAGGTTTAAAACAACAGCGTATGAGATGAAAGCGTATGAGATGGCCAGGTTCAAAGCCTAAAGGAGGATTTTTAAACGGAGAACTTTTTGGATCGAAGCCAACTAAATGCACTTTCTCTGATAGTCTGTTTTTATATTTACCCACCCCCAAAACTGGCATCTCTATGCATGTACAGTGAGCAAAAGACTATGAACAGATTAAAGCGTGTACATTTATAACCAAATGCCTTGAATATACTTATGTATTATATTGCACATGCCATAGACTGTGCACGGAGCATCTTTCTCTGGACATAAATATATCCCCATAATCCTGTAGGGATTAGAGATTGTATGTACCTCCCTCATTGCCTACTTTGTATGTTGCTTAGTCAAATTGTGGTCAACAATCATCACATGATTATCAGTGCAGTCACTAAAAGTCAAAGGGCTCCTGAAAATTAAATGTGAATCAAGAATCTGTGATGGGAGCATATCTAAGCTAACATCCCAGATCTACTTTATTTGAAGAAGGAAATTCTATGATGCAGCTTCCTTTACCTAAATTCCTTAGCCATAGGAATCTGCTTTTCCAAGAGGAATACAAGTTATTAAGTAGCAGGAATCCCTTCATATCAAACTCGAAATATTTCCAGTGGCAATATGGCAAGAGAAAGCAGACTGAATTGAAAAGAAGAGCTTAAGGAGCATCTGTTCTAAGGCACCGCACAATCTTTCCCCAGTAAGTCTCATAAACCTGAAGTCCCTTGGCTGAAGATCACCCACCTCAGATAAGGCCTACTACCCCATGCAGCTAACTTAATCAACAAGGACAAAAACCACAGGTGTTGCAGCCTGGTTTCATGACCAGGGTCCTAATATACCTGCATAAGCCCCTGCCTGTGAAGTCTGAAATGCTCCATATATGTCTTTCAAATTAGTAGGACAGGAGAACTTCAGCAACTGTACTTAACTGAGGCTTCACCGGCTGTAATTTGGGGAGCATTTCTCTTTGATCTCCAACTCTGCCATTGCTCCCAAGTCCTGTGCTCCAGGGAGTTACCTCAGCCTGCACCAGCCAGTTATCCAGTAGGATTTAACCAGTGAACTTAGAGCAATCTTCAGAAAAACCCATCTCACCCATCCTAGAATGAATAGTTTGCACCTTGGTCCCTTTACTAAATCCTATTGGAGCCTACGGCTAGCTGGCTCTTCTCCCCCACCACATTTCACTTCATAATTCTTTCTTTCTATGTCAACGAGTTGAAATTGTTCTTAAGTCCCAGGGCCCACAAAATGATCCTTAAAAAACATAGGTCTTATTCTGCCTCCTGCCCTGCATATCTTTTTCCCCTTCTGCTACATGTTTGTGCCCTTTCATGTTGTTTTGCTCTAGAATAGGACTTGATTGAACTATGAGTTTGGTCACCAAAGGACACTAGGTTGGGATGGGGTCGCCGAGGGTTGGGAGGATGTGCAAATCCAATCCAGTATTCAACACCAGGTCATTTATTCCAAACCGTGTTGTCCCGGGAAAGTGCGTAACTGGAGCAAAGGCATTTGTCATTAAGCTCCTTCCATCCTTGGTTGACTAGGCCAAGAATTCCTCCTGATGTGCTCCCTGCCCGATCTGCAAGCGGGGTCAGCATTTCAGGGATACTCGGGCTTCTCGGGTATTACCTGTGTTTGTGTCAGTCCTAAGGAAGCTGCCAGTTCGGCTCTCTCGGGAAGGGCCAGGTACTGAGTCTGCTGAAAACGATGGTTTAAAGCCTGGAGCTGCAGGCTGGAATAAATGGTCCGAGGCTTCCGAATCTTTTTCCCTTTTCCGTTGAACCTGATTTCCCCGTTTTCAATCACTGTGGTTTTTTGTTGATCTGCAAGCAAAGGACACAGAGAAGCGGTCACCCGCGAGGCTACTACTGCAGTCCCCGAGTTTGGCCTGGCCTGCGCTGGGTCTCCCCAAAGCCCAATAAAGGTTTCCTCGAAGCGTCCCCATGCCATCCTGACCTCTCTGGGTTCACGGTGTCCGGGTGCTCCCAGCAGCTGCGAAAGCTTCTCCCCAACCCTGACTCTGGCTCTAATAATGCGCGCTGGTCGGACCGAGGGAGCGCCTTCGGCCCTCGGGCAAACAGCCTCGCTCGGCGGCGGCGGAGGCGGCGCCGGCCGCTCTCTCGGGCGCGCGGCGCCGCAGGACTGCTGCTCTCTCCGCAGAGCGGGGCCCCTCGGCCTGGCTTTACAGTGTCTTAGCTGTGCTTGAGCCACCCTGGTGTTTATGCGACCAGCTGACTTGATGTCACTAGCTCCAAGCCCGGTACATCAAGACACCTCGGCGTATTCGAAATGACTCTGCCAAGAGGGACCAAAACCCCAGACAAACCACAACCAGCCGCTCAGATCAGCTCCGGAGCAGGCTGGACCTCGCACGGCAACTTTGTCCCCCTCGGGTGCTGAGAACCATCCGCCCGAGGTCCCTCTGCTTCGCCTCCGCGAACAAAGGAGCAACCAACATTGTATTGAAAACCCTGAGGGAGGGGGCCCGGTCAGGGGTGGGGGTTGGCGGACACCTCGAAATGCACGGGAAAGAACCCAATTGTCAGCAGCTTAACCAGAGCCAGAGGCCACGCCAGCTTCCCTCCGGGTCACAAAAGCGCACCGAGCGCCCCACGCAAAGTAGGCCACTGGCTGTCCAGATTGGGTCGGGAGCAAAACACGCTCTCCAGTTTCGGCACAGAAATGTCCCCAGTCCTGCCAAACGCAGGTCACAGCCCAGAGGGGAGGAGGGAGGCAAAGGGCGCAGACCCAGCCTGCTGGAGAGCGCAGTGCGGACCAACGTGGAGCGAAGCCGGCGCCGAGCTGGAGGCGCGGCCCGAGCGGCGCGGGAGCCGGGGAGCGAGGCGGGCCGCGCCGCGGGGCTGCCGAGGGTCCGCGGCGGCGGGCAGGGGCCGGCAGGGCGAGGCCGGCAGGCAGGCGCCAGGCGAGCGGGCGCGCACGAGGCCCGGCCGGGGGCGCGCCGGGCCGCCTGGGGGAGGGGGCCGGCGGAGGCCCGGGCATTGAGGAAGTGAGCGGGGCGGGCGGGGTGGGGGGCAGCCGGGAGGCGGGAGGCGGGAGAAGCGAGCTGCCCAGCGGCCTCTCACCTGTGTCGTCCCCTCGCGTCTGGGCGGCCGCGCTGCTGTTGTGGTAGGACTGGAGGTAAGGGCTGTGCTGCGAGTGGCTCATGTAGGGGTAGGCGGCGAGCGAGCGGTGGTTGTAGGAGTTGCCGCCGCCCGACGCGTAGGGCGAGCCGTGGTGGTGGTGCTGGTGGTGGTGGTGGTGCGAGCCGGCCGCCGCCGCCGCCGCCGCCGCCGAGTGCAGGCAGTGCAGAGGGTAGTGCGCGCCTGCCATGGCCGGGGAGCTCTGCTGCGAGTGCGGCTGCGGCGGCGGCGGCGGCGGCGGCGGCGGCGGCGGCTGCTGCTGCTGCTGTTGCTGCTGCTGCTGCTGTTGCTGCTGCTGTTGTTGCCCGAACTCCATGAAGGCGGATTTGGACGAGTCCTGGCCTTCCAAGCCGTCAGCCATCGTAGTCATGGTCATCATCAAAACTTTGGGGGCTGGAGAAAGCCTTCTCCCGGGTTTCCTCCACCCTCCCCCCACTTGGCTCGCGCCGCTCTCCCCTCTGCAGCCACCTTAGCTCTTGGGATCCTTGCAAAAAAATTAAAAAATAAAAAAAAGAGGGGGCGGAGGTGGTTCTCCCTCTCCCTCGCTCTTCTCTAATATATATATTTTTAATATAAAGAGATATAGTGAGCGGGGCCTTGTTAACTCAAAGGGAGGAGGAAGGGGGAGGGATGGGAGAGGAGAGGGGGGAGGGGGGAATCTGCTCTCCCCCCCTGTTTTTCCCCCCTTGGATTTTTTGGGGGCTGGTGCAGTTTAAGGCAGAGATTTTAAGGTGGATTCTGCGAAAGTTGCGCGTCTGCTTTCAGACTTGATGCAGACGCCACGAGTCGAATGGTTTGTCTCCAAAGGGCAGCGCCTCCCCATTGGTCAGTCGCCCCCTGACGTCACAGGCGCACGGCTTCTACTGGTGTGTGCGCCGCTCGCCGAGTTCTTCGCCTACCTCCTGCAACTCCAATCCCAGCCCGGAGCTGCGGCCCGGGGGCCTCGCGGCGCGGCGCGCAGGGCCGCCGGGGAGGGAGGCGCCTCCGCCCGGCCCGCCGCCGACGCCTCCCGCCTCAGCTCGCGCCCCCAAACCCGGAACCTCAGTCCCCAACACCGCAGTCCTGAAACAGCCTGGCCAGGGGCTCCTCGCTCTCAGTCCCCTTGCACCCCAGCAGGCTGCCTGTGCTCAGAAGCTGCCCTCTGCATTTAAAGCGAGGCCCCCTCCCTTGACCTCCTCCCCTCCCCCACTAGAGTCCCGCGGGAGAGCCTTGTCACCGTGGATTTTTCTAGACGTACTTTTTGAAACCACAGAGCTTGGAAGAAGAACCCCCACACCTGGGCCCCACCCCATGGGTGGGGGTAAAGAAAAAAATCAGACCCTGTTCTGGCGAGGTTCCTGTCGTTTCAGGCTGTATTTCCTATGTATTGAACAAAAAAGGGGAAGCAGTCCTTCCCCCCCCCCCCCCAGAACGCAGCAGCCTATTCTGAAAACGAATCGTTGGAGGACTGACAGTAATGCATTTTTTCCTATTGAAAACAGAAGCTACTGTAATGCTTTCAAATATATGCAAATGATACATGCGGTTAGTGGTTTGGCAAATCTTGATTACAATATAAACTACCCAAGGAAAAGTGCCTTCGTCCTAAATTTGTCTCTCGATTACAATTCCAATTGATTTTATTTTATTGTCAACATTGTTAATGATAAAAATAGAGTCGTTTTACAGTTATTTTTACTTTCTGGAAGGAGGCAATTAGAGTTCTAATCAGGAATACACAAAAATCTCCCATGATTAACTGCAGTACTTTGTTCAAATTGCTGCTATAAAATTCAGAACAATTTGCCTGTAATGATTATGGACTGGGTTTATTTTGGGAGGTGGAATAAAAGTGGATATAGCATAAATTATCCTCTAATTATACACCAGTGTCGCCTCAATTATCCTCTTATCAAAATGGTTGTCTAACTGCCGCATTTAGTTTCAATTCTCTCCTTTTTTTCTATAAAAAGAACTTCATACCTTGTTATTATTAATCCATTTATTATTTGCAAGGGGATTTATATCCGCACATCCAGGTGGTAGAACCACTTCTCTTTCAAAGATGGACTGGGGACAGACATTAAGTTTGGAGCAGCCCAGGGCTGCGGATCTAGCCTTTCTTCCTCTAGTCTCCAGACCCACTCAGGTCCAGGCAGCCGAGCAGAGACAGCGGAGCCCAGGCGCGCATCTCAGGCCTGGCCACCAGGTAGGAGAGCCGGACCGGGGGCCAGGCGCCGAGGAAGGCAGACTGGGCCGCGCCCGGATCCCGGTCCCGGGACTGTGGGGAGGCGCCGGGAGTGCGCAGTGCTGGTGGATCGGGACTGGGTGGGCAAGACGTGCAGACCTCCGTGGGCTCGGCGCCAGCTTGCAGTCTGCGGATAGACTCAAGCCGCGAGCCTTTGGCCACACGGGGAAGTGTACAATCTATCAACTTCGGGTCAACGCATCTTGAGATTGCCGGGACGAGTCTGGGTCTCCCTTTGGGAAAACTACTGAGGGATTCCTTGCCCTCTATTCACTTGGACTCCGTAAGTTATGCGACCCAAGGAACCCGAGAAATGGACAATTTAGTGGTGCCCGCTCGCCCCCGTAACCCGAAAAGGTGGCTGCAGACTTAGCAGCTCGGACTCTATTTACATATTGAGCGAAGCTCGGCGGCAGCGGCTTATGCTAATTGATTCACCCAGCTCCCAGCTCAGGGTCTCCAGGCATCGCCAGGTTAATTTTTCCTTTTCTTTCTTTCCTTTCTTCCTCCATTTTATCGGATGACCTGAAGCTCGCTGCCCTGGGTTTTCTCCAGGATTCCCAAGGCAGCAGCGTTCACTCTCCTCTCCCCCTCCCTCTCCTAGCCCGCCGCGCTTAACTTCTTGAGCCTCGGGAGTCGGTTCAGTAACTCTGAATTCATTTTTAAGTGGCGTGCCTTGTTCCCCTCCTTTTAACAAGAGGTACACTTTAACACGCGAACCAGTAACCCGATCCACGCGTTTACCAAATCGGCGGTGAATTAAAACAACAACAAAAAAGCTCCAAGGAAAATGAAAGGTGGGCTGGGTAAGGGGGAGATGCGTAGGGTGTGTATATGGGGTGGGGAGACAGAAGGGGAGGTCAGAAAAAGAGAAAGTCCCCCTTCCCCCGGCGCACACTCTGTGCTCCCGGGCTGCGCGCGGAGCTTGTTTGTAATGCCCTCAAAGCCAGCAGGTAGACGTGGCAGTTTTATTGCTTTATACCCTGCAGCTTGCTGTTAACACGGTGAAGGCGTTTCCCCCACCCCGTGCATGTCTGTATTTCTCTCTATATGCTCGCAGGTGCACTGCTTTCCTCGCCGGCCGGCTTCCCCCAACTCTGGCCGCACCCGGAGCGGGGCGGGTCGTGGCGGGGCCCGGGAAGGTCCCCGCACTGAGCACCAGATCCAGGGCTCAACAGCCTCTATTTGCAAAGGATTTTTCCCCCTCCTTTTCTTTTCTTGTTTACTTAATGCTGGGGGAAGCCCGGAGGACTGGACTTGTCTGGGTTGTAGCTTCAGGGCTCTCATCCCTCCCCCTATTAGACAGAGGGTAAAAATCCCCGCGCTGTGTTCCAGAGGAGCAAGTGTGCAGCTGCACCGAGGGGGCAGTTGCTACACATGGAAGAACGTCCTGCTGAGCCCCGCTGTGAGACCCAGATGGGGTTCAGTCAGTCAGGGGCTGAGGATGGGAGCGAGCAAGGGGTCCTTCCCGGCTTGGCAGAGGTGTCTGTGGGCTCTTGCCGGATAGAATCCGTACTGTACATTTGAGCATCCAGTTTTCAGGCTAGTCCCGGGAATAGCTAGCCCGAGAGCTACTCTGGCTCCACACACTGCGCCGAGCTGGCGCGCGGCGAGTGGCTGCCACGTGTGGCCTCTGCCACCAGCCTCGGCGCGAGGAGTTCGGCGCGCAATGACTGCGGCAGGGACCGCTCCCCGCGGTCATTTCTCTCCAACTGAACCCGGCGTCTCACTTCCGAGTCCTTCGCCCAGTGTCTTGAGCGGCTGTAATGAGCCGGGGCCAGTCACCTCTGGCTTGTTCGGCCCGCACCTCCAGTCCTTCTGCGAAAGGCAAGAACTTTTTCAGGGCCTCACAGCGAGGGCGCACACCTCGGGGGCTCCAGGCCCCTGCGCCCGGCTCGCCGCCAGCCCGGCCTTGGCTCCTACCTCTTTGTCTTGCCCGCTGGGGAACCCGGGCCCGCCTTTGGGGGTGAGAAGAGCAAGGCAGGCGAGGCCCGAAGTCTTTATCATTCAAAATAGAAGTAAAGCCAGCAATCTAGAGTAGGAGGCTTAAGGATCTTTTAGGGCCTGTAGTAGATGAGGGTCAAATTCACTAAGAAGTTTTTAAGAGGCAGGATTTGAGGCCTACACTGCTTTATGCTTCTTAAGGTGCTGAGGTGTTGGGGCTTGTATTCGACTGTCAGTGTTATTTAGAGAGAAATACGGATTGCCGACACGAGACCGCGTGGGTCAGCTCGCCCAAAGCCATTGTGGGAGGAATGGGCTCCTTGGGTCGGAAAAGCCTTTGCTGTTCTAGTTATGGACGCAGGTCTGCACGCACGCGTAGGCTAGCGAACGCGTTGGGTACCGGCCGAGGGTCTGCAGCCTCCTCGGGCTGGAGAAGTACATTCAAGCCGGGCAGGGCCTGTCTGGGTTTGGTTGCTAAGTTGGGCTCAGTTATCACGTTAATTCTAAAGAAATTAGACCTGGATAAATAGCCTTTGAATTCAAAGAAATAACTCGGTATTGATTTACATAGCCATGCTAAGAACCCTCTTCTCAATGGGAGACATGGGTAGAAAAAATTCCTGCTAGACATTTCCCCATTCAGTGTAAGATTCTGTTTGTGTATGTGTGTAGGGAAAGGGTGCTTGATCTCCTGAAAACCCAGGCACCCTTGTCCCCCTCCCCCAACATAAACACCTGGGAAAGCTTGGGGGGAATGTGAGAGCTGCCTCTTTCCCTTTCTTGGCCCAGGCCAGTGATGATATCTTCAGGAGTAGCCAAAAGTATAAGACTATGCAAGAAAACACTGAGATTATGGTGTTGTTTTCTCTAGTGATGAAACTATAATGCCCATGTTAACACCCTAACTTCCCAGGCTCCCCAAAATTGGGCTAAAAAGTGGGCCCTGTTTACGGCACACCCGGAAAGAGGCTCCCTGAAGTCTGGGGACAACATCTCCCTCACCTCTCCAGTCCTGGGTCTCAAGAACAGGTAGCTAGGAAACCCCAGCATGGATGGCACTGGCCCCCCAGGGTCAGTGATTCCCACTGGGAACTTCACAGACTTTTTCTAGGTGCTCCAATTTGGAGAATATTAACTAAGCATGTTCCAACCTAGAGGCTCCTGCTCCAAGTCTTTTCAAAAGTGGGGTCTGGGGGAATTATGAAAATTAAGCTAACCAGGTCCTCAAATTCAACACCTTTTGCCTCTCCCTGACCCTGTTCCCAGACTGTGTGAGCATTCAAAGCTTGCTGAACAGAGGGAGCCAAAATTCAGCACCTAGAGTGGTTTCAGGGGGAAAACAATACGTTTCTACCTTCTTCAGTTTTGGGATTGTATACAAACATCTGTCTTTCTTTCTTTCTTTCCCTTCCTTCCTTCTTCCTTTCTTTCTTTCTTTCCTTCCTTCTCTCTCTCTTTATTTCTTTCATTTTTTCCTTCCTTCCTTGCGCTCTCTCTCTCTGTTTCTCTCTCTCTTTCTCCATCTTTCTTTTCTCTTTTATCAAGCATAGGACCCCACTCCCTGATACATAAATACTCTTCTTTCTCTCAGACCGGGTAAAAAAGAACTCAACAACGTTTAAATGCTTAGATTAAAACAAGATAAATGGTGATGTTTGTCTTTTTAATCTGTTAGGTAAACCAAGGCTGAGCCCCCATATTTGCCCTGTTGGGAAATGTAGCATGGCAAAGGGGGAAGGGTAGCGGTGTTAGAAGTCAGCTTTAATCAAGCCAGTCTTTGGAAACCGGGACCCCCTGACCATTGGAGGATAAATCCAGCCCTAGAGTGGCAGGGAACAAGCATCAACAGGAAATGGCAGACTATTTTTAGGCATAATAAGGAGTTAATATAGCTGGCCCAGCGTCTTCCTAAATGCCTGGAAGCATCCTCTGTTTTGATTCCTTCATCCCTTCATCAGTAGGAACAATAACAAAGTCACAGCAAACGCCTCCACATTAAGGGAGAGCCAGGCTTGGGACAGCTCTTCAGGAAAACCTGGGATAGAAAACATCCTCTTGCTATCATGTGAGCTCTTAGGTGGTTCTCTTGTTACAACAGAAAAAGGAATGAAAACTGTTTTTCATTAAAGAGAGAGTTCTATACCTGACTGCCCTTGTGCTATAAATGCCCTGGTGATTTTCATATTCATACCTGTTCAGAGGCACTTCTTACCCCCTTTATTTTGTAACATCCCAATAAATGGAAAGGTAATTTATTAGATTTTTAGCAAAATTTTCCTTAGAAGGCAACCTATTTGGGAACCCTTAGAAGTGAGGATTATTTTCTTAAAACCCCTTTTCCCAACAGTGCCCCTTCTCTTTTCTTTTATTCCAAACAAAATTCTTTTTTACACAAATCTAGAA